CCGGCCTGTCAACGCTTGCTACCAACAGCAACTGGGTTTTTGCTCCAGAGCCAGATTCCCAGGCACCTGGCAAGTAGGTTCTGAGTCCGAAATGGCGACCGGAACCAACAGTCTGTGGCTGATGCCCTGGCTCCCTCCCCTCGCACTGCCCCTCCTTGCTAAGCCAGGGGGCCAAAGGCCAAGGCGCCCTGCGGAGGAAGGCCAAGCTTATGGCCAGGGCTCCAGATTCACAGGGGAATGCTGGGCTGCAGGGCCTGTCGCCACCGGGCCTGTGGTTCGAGGCCAGCTCAGCCGGGGCACGAAGAATGAGTTTGCTGCCGGCCGGGTCTTCGCTAGCTTGTGTGAGGTGATCGCCGTCCAGGGGCTGGCGTTCTGAGCCTCCTCCTAGAACACACCCCTCCTGTCAGAACAAGCCTGGACTCCTTCCCACGCTGCCCCGGCCTGAACCTGGCCTAGAGTGAAATCGGGCTGCCAGTCTGGCACCCTCCCTCCTGCTACAGTCGAATGCGAGGAAAGCCACAGCCAGGTAGCGCTGTCTCTGTGCGCCCTGCACTTAGCCTGTCGCTCGGGGCTGCAACGGGCTGGCAAAGGCCCAACAGTGAGTCAATGGCAGGAGGGTTTCATAAGCCGCCGGCGGGTGAATGATTCTGGAATCTTCCGTGCAAACCCCCACGTCTCTTGCGAATGCCGGGCAGACTTCTCCCTGCTGACGAGCCGGAAAGCAAGGAGCCAACCTGAGCTGCAGGCTTCGCAGCCCCTCCAGATGCTGCGCTTGGGATGTCCGAGCGAGGCTGAGCCGGAAACCTCTTTTCCCCCCAACCTAACCCCCTCTGGAGACTTACGTGGGTACCAGCTCCTCAGCTGCTGCAAAGCAGAGCAGCCTCCTTGGAGTCAGTACTGCTCATGAAGTGCCCAGTTGGCTTGTCATAGGGATAATGATACTCACCCGCCTGTGGGAGACGCTCAAACTAGGTAGCAGCACTAATGCTCCCCTTCCAACTCAACTGTCCAAGCCACTGACTTCTGAGTGGACTTGGAAAGAGGCAAAAGGGGCTTCCCCCTCTCTGGCCAATTACACCTTCTCTCCTGACATTTCCTGCCCTGTCATCTTTGTGACACTGACTGCTTTCTCATGGGATCATTACAGGCCTTCCTGGCACCATTTATTCCCCAGGGACAGGAGAGGGCTGGGTCCCCAGTGACATCCCATCATTAGCCTTTGTTAGATCAAGGAAGTCACTGTCCCGCCCAGTTCCCTTGGTTCTTGTGACTGTGGTTCTATGAGGAAGCCATCTGGTCCCTAATAGTTGGGTGTCTAGCCTGTGCTTAATTAACTCCTTGGTAGCAACCTCCCTTAAAATAGAGCTGTTGTAATTTTTTCAATAGCAATTTAAAAGTACAGATACAATGGCCTTTAAAATATATGTTTACAAAATTATTCCAGTTTTCTTGGAATTTTCCTTTTTTCAAAAACTTTGTTTTGTTTCATCATCAGCAGTTTTGATTGATCACCTTAGACACGTGCTCTTTTTGTAAATTAATTCTTTTGGGCATAGTGAGGGGGAGGGGAAAGGATTTCACCATCAGGACATTTCGATGATAAAGTGTTGACATGTTTTAGAAAATTCTAAGTTTAAAAGTGAAGAAATGTCAATGGGAAAAGTTTGAAGAGATTTTTTTTAAAGCCCCTTTCAAAAACGACAGGAACAAAACATCTTCACCACTTGCCCCAATTTTTGCAAATAAGTTTTAAAGTTTTTTGCCCATTCTGGGCCAGGGAGCCCCAAGAATGAAAACCTGTTTTGTTAGGCTGGTACAGTGTATGTGGTGTCGCATGGAGAGCGCACTTTATTCTGTGATGGGACTCCCAGAGGCACGATTTCAGATGCAGGGAGGGGACAGCTTTAACCACGACTCCATTCCAGAGGCTACTTAGTCATTTGAAAACTTTTTACTGGTGATAACTCAGGCAATAGTGAGTCCTCATTACCATGCCTGTTCCATCCACTTAAAGGGCTGTTAAAGTTAATGTATTCCTGCTTTCGTGAGGAGTAGCTGCTAAATTCGATCTCGCATAGTTGACTTACCGGTAGCGCAGATGCAGCGCTGTGAAAGTCAACGTTCTTGGTCTCTGGAACTGCCCCACAGAGCCCCGGGGTGACTGATCTGGCCATACCTTTCCACTCCACTGCTCTGCAGGTGATCATGCGAAAATTTGAATTTCATTTCCGGTGTGACCAGCAGACCTCGGAGCAGGCAGCACACCTGAGCATGAGTTGTAGTTCCGTGAGTTTCCAGGGTCATAGACGAGCACCAGCATGGAGCATGCAGGAGATCCTGGACCTCATTGCTGTGTGGGGAGAGGAATCTCTTCTCTCAGAGCTACAAAAGAAACGCAGATATCCATGCCACGATCACTAGAGGCATGGAGGAGGAAGGTTGGGCCAGGACCCCCAAGCAGCGCTGACTGAAAATAAAGGAGCTGAGGCAGTTGTATCAAAAGACAAAGGAGGCAAATGGACAATCTGGAGCATCGCTGCAAACACGTCGCTTCTACACGCAGCTGCAGGCCATCCTTGGGGGGGGGGGGGAGGATTCCTCCCAAGACACTCAGGCAGCCTTGGGCAGAGGCATGGAGGACAGCCTGGTGGAGGAGGAGGAGGAAGAAGAGAATGGCCAGTAGGCGAGCAGGACTACTGAGGTCACTGAGAGCCAAGATGCTATTTATCTATTTATTTATTTAAAGTATTTTTACCCTGCCTCGCTATTTAAAATATTCGAGGTGGCTTACACAACTTTTAAAACACAACGCATAAATATTTATTAAAAGTAATTTTTTTAATAACTTTAGAGACAATCCCCTCCTCCCAGGACATCGCACAGTCAGGGGTGGCCCGTGAGCCTAGGCGGTTGCCTAGGGCGCTGCTGGTGCCACCAGCCCGGGCGCCCAATGATGATGTCATCATGGGGCGCCGGGGCACCCCGTAATTGCATCACGGCCATTGACAGCCGTGCAAGCGGGGTGGCCACTCCTAAAAGCGGGTGAAGGCAATCAGGTGTGATCTGTGGTGGCCATTGTGCCTACACAGCAGCGGGGTCCCTAGAACAGCTTGTTGGGAGCCAGCTGCTACAGCCGGCCTCGGGCCGCTCCTGCCCACAGTTGGGCACTGATCACGTGGAGGACACTTCTGGTGAGGTCACATTTTTTATCCTCCTAAAAGCGGGTGAAGGCAATCAGGTGTGATCTGTGGTGGCCATTGTGCCTACACAGCAGCGGGGTCCCTAGAACAGCTTGTTAACGTGTCTGGAAACGGAGCAGGAATCCTCCCTGCACAGCTCCATGAAGCTCTCATAGGGTACGTCTAGACTACTGCGTTTTGTCGACGGAAGTTTTGTCGACAGATACTGTCGACAAAACTTCCGTCGACAAAGAGCGTCCAGACACATTGAGTTCTGTCGACAAAGCAAGCTGCTTTGTCGACAAAGACAGAACTCCGTAGTCTGGACGCAACCCTACAGGCAATAACAGCTTCTGTCGACAGAACTCTGTCGACAGAAGATGTTATGCCTCGTAAAATGAGGTTTACCAGCGTCGACAAAACTGCTGAGTTCTGTCGACGTTATGTCGACAGAACTCAGCGGTAGTGTAGACGCTGGTATAGTTTTGTCGACAAAAGTCCACTTTTGTCAACAAAACTAGGTAGTCTAGACACACCCATAGAGACACTCTTCTCTCCTTCTCACAAGGTTTCCAGGGAGGCTGCTTTATTCTGTCCTCCACGGTAGGACACCTTCCCATGCCAAGCCCAGTGGTCTGGTGTCACTGCAGCACAAAGCAGGGCAGCGTACGGCCCAGGCTTCTGACCACATTCGGTCATAATCTGCTCCCTCTCACTCTGCGGGATTTTGGGAAGACTGATATCGCGCATGGGGCAACCTCAGTGCGGCAGGGGAAGCTGTTAGCTGATGCCTCTGCAATAAGCCTCCATTAGCTCATTCCCAAAGAAGCACAGCTTGAGCCCCTGCCCTGCCGCCACGCCTGGACCCCCTCCCACCCACCTTCTCGCTCCTGCGACAAGGGAACGTTGCATTCTCCCAGCAAATAGAGGGTGCCGAACACAGGGGCGCCACACGGGCCCCTGTCTTGCCCTGCTGACATGACTGGACCCCTCCTGCCAAACACATGGGCGACGTGCAAGCCTCTGCCCTGGCACCCCACAACTGGACCTCCACCCCCTCCGGCTTGCAGGCTCATGCCCCGGCTTGTCCTCTACCATGCCTGCCACTGCAGTGAGTCACTGCTCCCCTAAGAACTGTGAGGTGTAGCTGCTGCAAAGTGACTGCCTAAAAGCATAGCTGCGGCCTTGTGCATAACACATCCCGACTGTCTGTAGACAGACCTTCCTTTTGTTCTAACAGATCAGGCTTGATGCTCCACAGTGCATCTCCTGTGAATGTATCTTCACGTTTCGTTACAGCGGGAACAGCGGTCAGCCTGCTGCGCACACCCCTGCCCCCACCAGCTGTCCACCTGGCACAAATCCACAGCTGAAAATGGACTAGGGAAGAGATGTTTGAGCAGATGCAACCTACCTACTCGGGCAGGCAAGCGAGTGGAGGGAGATGCTGCTGGAGGAGATGCACTCCAGATTAGAAGGAGGCTCCTTGTGTGTTGCTCTAAGGCAGGGGTGGGGAACCTAAGTCCCGGGGGCTGGATGCAGCCCCTCGGTTGCCTGGATCTGGCCCCCGAGGTTTAGGGCCTCCCCCAGCATTGGGGAGCCCACACTGACATTCCAGCCCCCCTGCCGCCTCCCCACAGCCTCCAGTCCCCAACTGATTTTTCTGTGGGTCAGCAGCCCCCGACCCAAATAAGTTTCCCTTCCCTTGCTCTAAAGGATTTGAGAGTATAAATGACATTGCCCGAAGGTACTCACATTTGTGAGACTCAACCACCCTCAGAAATATTAAAGAGTAAGTAAACGGGAGCTGAAATGACTTACCAGGTGGAAGAGGAGGACATCCAGCAGAGCAGACATACAGCTATAAAATGGCTGGCTGCCTAGCGCAGCGTTTGTTGGTATCTCCACATGCACAAACCCAGCAGCTCCTTAAAAGGGGTCTGGGGAAAATCCTAGAATTGAAGAATGCAACTGCAACCTTGATGAGGAATCAACATTTGTGTGGAACAGCCTGTCTGGGCCCTACCATGTGACCTGACTCAAAGCCCATTGGAATCAAAGGAAAGACTCTCACGGACAGTGGACTAAATAGAAGAGTAGGTGGCCACCCTGGGGTATTGCCGTTCCCCCCAAAATTAGGGAGTTGAAAAAAAAAATGGGCAAGTTTGAAGTGTAACTGAAGCCGTGTTTGTGGTGTGACAGCTCTTGACAGCAGGGGGAGATCCCAGCTGGCCATTCTTTAGTGCTGCTGCTCTTGCAGTGAAGCAGTGAAACAGCCAGAGCTGGGCTAACTTGAATGTGCCTGGGGCAGCAGCCCCCTCCCCTGCCTGAGTCACTCTCTGTCTACTGGTGTCACAAGGGGCTGGCCCCTCCCAGCCTTTGTAACATAGCAACCTGTGAGGATGAGGGCAGACTGTGATGAAATCTGCAGCAATCATCTTCTGAGCTTCCTTCCCCGCCCCACCGCTGCCTCAGCCTGCTTGTCTCCATGAATTTGAACCAAGTGCTGCAGAAGCTCCCAGCCCTGCTATTGGATCCATCAGATACATTTCTGGATTCCTGTTGGAAGAGCAAAGAAGAGCCAGCTGGGGGGGAGGGAAGGGGAAGAAGAGTGAAATGGCTTTTCGGTGTGCCTGAGCCTGGGAGGTCGGGTGAGAGCCTGCAGAGAACAAGCTACCTATGGTCGGCAAGGAGAGAAGAGTAAACCAAGGGATGCAAGCAAGCAGTATGCTGACTGCTCATCTTTGTGTTTTGCATTTGTTGCTGCAGTTCTGTTCTTGCCAATAGTGGCATCCCCAAGAGCTGTGATTCTAACCCAACTGCTCCTGATTTCAGCCAGGAGCAAGCAGCAGTTTGCATGGGCTGGGTAAGGCTCATCAAGCTCAACAAAAAACCCAGGCTTGGCCTTTTGTTGCGCTTCATGAGCCTGCATCCCTTTCACTCACTTCTCTCCTTTGATCCCACTAAATGTATTTAAAAAAAACCAAACCCTAAACCACCTGCTCATGAAACTTCCTGCTACAACTTGCTTGATGCACCTGCATTCCTTTCACTCCAGTGGGGGAAGGGGAGAGGAGCAGAGAAGGAAAGCTGCCTGCATTGCTCCCACTGCTGGCTAGAGGGGAGGCAGAGGAGACACTGTCCTGCTATGGTAGGAAACTTAGAGGGAGGTTGCAGCCACCCTCCTCCTCCAGTCTTTAAATGGTGCGCTTGCTCTCCCTTTGACAGCAACATGTCTGCCCTCCCCATGTCCCTATTATTGAGGGTGGGGGCAAATAATCTTCCTCTGAACCAGTCTGTCCCCAGCCCCACTTGCACTCCCACTTCTGCCTGCAACTTGGTGCAATCAGGTTCCTAGCTACGGCAGCTGAGTGGTTTCAAGGCAGACAGGTCTCTAACGGGCCCCCCAGGGGTCAGTCCTGGGCATGGCCCTAGTCAAGCTTTTCATGAATGTCTTGGGGCTTCTCTACACTGTCACTGTACCGCGTTGTAACTTCTGGCTCAGGGGTGTGAAAAAACACCCCTCCCCGCAGAGTGCACCATAAAGCTCCAGTGGGAAGAGGTTCCCAGCACTGTTAGCTGCTCCCCTCACAGAGATGCTTTACCCACGGTGCTGGGAGAGCACTCCCTGCTGTGACCATGCTACCGCGTTACCGTGCTGCTGCGGCAGTGCTTTAAACTCGGCCGTTGTGCACAGAGCCTTCGATACTGGAGGGGAGAGGGCGCTTATAAAATCAAGCCATCAGGGATTGCTACCACTTTGGAGGACAGGCTTCAAATGCAAAAAGACCTTAACACATTGGAGGATTTCTCTGAAACCCGCGAGAGGAGATTCACCCAGGACAAATGCGAAGTACTCCAGAGAAGTGATTATTCCCCTTTATTCGGCTCTGGTGAGGCCACATCAAGAGTATTTCAGGAGTATTGTGTCCAGTTCTGGGCCCCCCACTACAAAAAGGATGTGGACGCATTGGAGAGGATCCAGCGGAGGGCAACCAAAATGATTAGGGGGCTGGAGCATATGACTTATGAGGAGAGGCTGAGGGAGTTGGGTCTGTTTAGTCTGCAGAAGCGAAGAGTGAGGGGGGATTTGATAGCAGCCTTCAACTTCCTGAAGGGAGGTTCCAAAGAGGCTGGAGAAAGGCTGTTCTCAGTAGTGACAGATGGCAGAACAAGGAGCAATGGTCTCAAGTTGCAGTGGGGAAGGTCCAGGTTGGATAATAGGAAAAACTGTTTCACTGGAGTGAAGCACTGGAATGGGTTACCTAGGGAAGTAGTGGAGTCTCCGTCCCTAGAGATTTTTAAGTCTCGGCTTGACAAAGCCCTGGCTGGGTTGATTTAATTGGGATTGGTCCTGCCTAGGGAAGGGTGCTGGACTTGATGACCTCCTGAGGTCTCTTCCAGCTCTATGGTTCTATGATTCTACTTTATTTGGGAGGCCAAATCAGCTACAGACTGTCTAGGTCAGTGGTCACCAACCAGTAGATCTTGGAGCCTCTGACAGGTGATCCTCACTGGTTTGGCCAAGAGGCTACCAAACACAGTACTTCAGGATTTGGGTCTGAGGTAAATCCTGGATTGCACTGAAATTCACAAAGTGATCTTGTGCTTAAAAAGGTTGGGGACCCCGGGCTAGGTGGTAGCATTGCAGAAACAGGGGTGGGAGGGAGAGGAGAATGGATGACACTGAGTATGACTCAACAACATGATGCAATGGTGCAAAGCTAATACCATTCGGGGGAGAGGGGTGTGGACAGGGGTGTCATGTCAGAGGTGGGAGGTAGCTGTCCTGCATTGGTGGGGCCTCCGCTGGGGCACTGGGGCCAGCGCTCTGCCCCGCGCTTTAGGAAAGATGCGGCTAAACTGGAGAGAGGCCAGAGCAGAGCAAGGAAAATGATGACAGGAAAAGTTACAAAACCTGGGCATGTTTTGTCTTGAGACAACAAGACGGAGCAGGGACCTGCTGCAGGCTTCAGCGATGTTAACGGTGCTTACAAAGAAAATCTCCAGCAAGGGGGATTTCAGTTGGCTCTTAGGAAAAACTTCTCAGCAGCTCTGGAACAGGGTTCCCAGGAAGGTTGTGGAATCCCCCTTCTGAGCGGGGGGGGGGGAGGAGGTTAAGAAGAGGTCGGACAAATGCCCATCCAGGATGGTCTGGTTTCATGGGTCCTGCCTCACTGCAGGGGCTGGGCCTGGTGTCCTCCTTCCAGCCCTGCCTGGCTGTGGTTAACCCCCCAACCTGTCACTGTGCCCACGGTGTGTGACACACAGCTGAGATGGGGGGAGTCTCTGGCCTCAGGGAGAGGCTCCAACTCCTCTCCTTGAGTCAGGACCTGAGTCCTGGCATCACAGACTGGGAGGTACCTCACTTCCCTGCTCCATCAGGCAGAAACAGAGGAGTAATGAGTGTGGATAAGCCTGGCAGACCACTCCCCCAGCCCCCATCAATGGTACATTCCCCCCTTCTGCTGACACCCATCAATTCCATATTCTCTCCGTTTGCACAGCAGTCTCCCCACTACCCATCCCCCAAGGACTGAGGGCACGGCCACCACGCCCTTGAAAGGCCTGTCTCTAGAGTGCCCATTGCCCCAGGCTCTGTCCAAACTTGCAACGTGAGACCATCCCGGCCCCAAAGACCTGGCACTCTGCAGGGCCATGGAGCCGCTCTCTGTGTGTTTGTTTCCCCTGCATCACAGGCAATGGGGGGACCCACGGAGGGAGTCGGGCATTGCCACGCAGAGCCCCGCTCTGCATTGCAAATGTGTGGGTGGAGCACTGGTGCTCAGGCGTATGGAGAGTCCACCCTCTGAGCAACACAGTTATACCCACCTACCCCCCAGGATAGGCATAGGCATAGGAAGTGTTTTCACTAAGTACCATGCCAGACAAGCCCACAGCAGCACAGCATGTAACATACAGGAGCTTAGAAAGTCACAGCTACCACTGCCACGGTCCACAGAGATGAGCTGGGCACCTAGACTCCCTCTACAACAAACAGGGGAGATGGTCACCTTACTGCCAGCTACAGCACGCTTGGCGGGGTGGGGAGCTGCCTACCCAGCCAATGGGAGACGTGCAAGCTAAGCCCCGCCCCTCTCGCTCAGCTGGGCACCTACAGTGGCGTAGTGACCTATGTGTCATGACCCCCATGCGTTATGAAACTTGGCTTGTGATGTGCATAACTCAAAGGCGCTTTCTACAAAATGCAATCATGTAACATGTCCGTTCTAACGTTACAATCTGCTGAATGTGCATGTACTTCTAGGCGTGTATCATTCTTCTATGTGAAGTTAGAAATATGAGGTGTGAATCCGCTTTAATTCCAAATGTGCTAATGAGCGCCATTGCTGATGCTCTAGAAAGACTCAGTACCCAAATCAGTGACCAGTGAATAGTCTTGTTTGTCCTGTTGGCTCAAACGGTGCTTGGTCCTGTCAGGGCACATGTCCAGGCCATCTGCTGCTGCAACCCATTTTGAATCTGGTACTTTTCCACTTGAGGTGAGAAAAGTCTGAACTGACCACAAAGGATTCCCACCTTGGGCAAAAGAGATAAAAGGGTGGTGGTGGACCAAACAATAGTGGCAGTTGCCAGATACCAGGAGACCCCCCTCCCCCAACTTACCACCTAAGATGCTTGCTGGAAACATGTAAGATTGAACAGGGGAGGATCAAGCCCAAGCTAGGCGGCTGCTTAGCGTGTGAAAGAGATGTCTAGAACAACTGTTTAGTGTAAGGCTTTACATGTAACAAGTGTTTTCGTGGATTAGGATTGGCTGGCATTTTGTTTATATTAATTTAGTACCTTACTTTGATCTGACTGTTTTCACTCACAACCACTTAAATCCTACATTTTGTACTTGATACAAATTTTGTATTATCAAGCCCAGGGTAAATAATTGTTACCTGGAGTGGGGAAGCAACCACTGTGCACCTCTCTCTCTCATTGATGAAGGGGGCTGACCTCATGAGCTTTCTCTGCCCTTCCCCTCTGCAAGGGAGGGCGCTCTCTCCCCAGCCCTGGCCCACAGGGGCAGGTAGAGCTAAAGGACAGGGGAACCTGCACGGAAGTGACTGCCTGGGAACCTGCTGCTGAACTGAGCTTGCAGCTTGTGCACCCCCTTCCTGCCTCACTGACTGCGCAGAGCCGTGGAGAAGCCAAGTGCAGTCAGGGGGTCAGTAGAACAAGTGAGTCTTCCCTGCCGTGCCCGAGTCACTTTCATCTCATCACTCCCCTGGGAATTAGGCTGCGCCGTGGTGGAAACGAGAGAGCACGGAGCAGGGGCTGGACATCAGGACCTGGGGTGCTGCTCCTAGCACGCTCAGTGACTTTCTGTGGGGCCAGTCACCTTCTCTGAGCAGCTGGTTGTGGGAACAATACCCCTGAGTTGGCTTCCAGGGAGGCTGCTGCTCCTTAGGGGACGCCACATGAGCAGTGGCACTGAGCCATGTAGTGTCTCCGTTCTGGAAAGCCAGGGTCTGCCCTGGCAGGCAGCCATGTTCCCTGGGCATGTCAGGCCCCCAGACGTCAAAAGCTGTGGGGCACACGGTCCCCACTGCCCTTTGGGGTTCTTGGTACCCATGCACTGGAGCACGGCTTGGCCTCGTGCCCATGGACATGGGGAGAAGGCTCAGGGCTCTGTGTGGGCCCTGGTACAAGCACACGCTCTCCTCACCACAGTGGGGACATGGGCTCTGAGTCACACGCCCACATAGACCTGACCCCTCTGCCCCCTTGCACTGGGGTAACCCTACTGGCTTCACCCCTGTAGTTCCCAGGAGAGGTATTGTTGCACTGTTTGCCCACCAGGGGGCACCAGACACAGCCACCCAGCGCCAGAGCCCTGCCTGGGATAGTGCAGACGTCAATCCGGCAGGCGTTGTGGCCTGGGACAGGTTTTGTCAGAGCTCCCATCCCCGGGGGTGAGGCGGGGCATGCCGCAGGAGAAGCTGTGCAATGGGGGGTTTCCACACCAGCCCATCCTTGCTGACTCAGCTTGGGGAAAACCCATTACCCTGCCCTCTGTGGGATTCCTGTTTAAAGAGCTTTCGGGACCATTCAGAAGGGCTGCGGATTTTATCTGCCAGCTCCCAAGCTGCTGGAGCCTCCTGCTGGTGGAGGGAAAAGGGGACTCGAAGGAGATTCTGTCCCAGCATCTCTCCCTGCAAACGCACAGGGTCACCAGCGAGCTCAGGGCTCTGCCCTCTACCTGGGCAGACGTGAGCTGAGGGGAGCTAGGGACTGCAAGGTTCTGCTCTTGGCTCTGCCATTGGCTTGTGGAGCGATCTTAGTCAAGTCACTGCACCCATCAATAAAATGCAGATGATCAGAGGAACCACCGTACCTCTCTGGAGTTGTGAAAGCGTCCTCAGAAGCTGAAAAGGGCAAAGTGGCCGAGTCTCTGACTGATGAAGAGATCGTAACTAATCTACAAACGCTGTGGCAGGGACATCAACTGGTGTGGAATTACAGGGGTTTGGAATGGCTGCCATATGAGGAGATTAACACAACTGGGACTTTTCAGCTTAGAAAAGAGGAGACTAAGGGGGAGATATGATAAGAGGCCTGTAAAATCATGACTGGTGTGGAGAAAGCAGATACAAAAAGAAATATATACTTGCTTCCATAACATGAGTACTAAGAAATTAATAGACAGCAGATTTAAAGTAAACACAAGGAAGTTTTTCTTCACGCAGCCCACAGTCAATCTGTGGAACTCCTTGCCAGAGGATGTGGTGACGGCTAGGACTATAACAGGGTTGAAAAAAGGGCTAGATAGATTCCTGGAGGTTAGGTCCATCAATGGCTATTAGCCAGGTTGGGCAGGAATGGTGTCCCTAGCTTCTCTCAGAATGGACAGCAACAGGGGATGGTTCTCTTGGTGATTTCCTGTTGTGTTTATTCCCACTCGGGCATCTGGCATTGGCCACTGTCAGCAGACAGGACACTGGCCTGGATGGATTTTTGGTCTGACTCAGTCTGGTCTCTCGGCCCCCCCCCCCCCCCCCCCCCCCCAGCCCTTCTCTGGCCTGCCTGCCTGGTGGGCCTATTCGGGGGAGCTGAGTTGAAGTCCTTTGGAGGAGAGTAGTGTCCTGTATTTCCACACCAAGGGCATCTGCTGCCTCATAGCACCCTTTGTTAGCGTAACCCTGCCAGGGCCAAGCCGAGTGACTTGGGCAGGGGGATTGGTTAGCACACACAACTGACTGCGCTGCTGCCTGCTCGTGGCCTGCCTGCCTGGTGGGCCTATTCGGGGGAGCTGAGTTGAAGTCCTTTGGAGGAGAGTAGTGTCCTGTATTTCCACACCAAGGGCATCTGCTGCCTCATAGCACCCTTTGTTAGCGTAACCCTGCCAGGGCCAAGCCGAGTGACTTGGGCAGGGGGATTGGTTAGCACACACAACTGACTGCGCTGCTGCCTGCTCGCAGCTGGGATCCAGGCTTCGTCTACACGGGCAAGTTTCCTCAAGGAAAAGAGTCTTTTCTGACGTAGCCGCCCGAGTGTTCACATGCAAGGTGACTTTTGTCAGGAAAAACAGCCGACAAATTCCTGCTCCATGAGGGACTTTTGTCCCCCCTCGCCTCGTGTCGTTGACAAACATGCGGGGTAGACACCTTGAGGCGTTTTGTTGCTGATCCTGGCCTCCAGGAAGTGCCCCACAATTCCCTGGCAGTCTGTACGGGGGGGAGAAGTGGGGCTGCTCCAGAGCCCAGCCAAGCGGCAGGGCCCACGGTCCCATCCAGCTCTGCCAGGTGGTCAGCACTTTGCCAGGTGACTGGTTACCTGCCTTGCCCCATTACAAGCCCTGCTAAGTTTAAATCTTATTTCCTGCTGTCTGAACACCTGGACCCCTCCAAGCCCTGCGGGCTGGCTCAGGGTTCAGTAGTCCCCTGGCATCTTCCCAAGTGCCCCTGCCTGGCCACCGCATCAAACACTCCCCCGCTTGGATCGCCGCGGAGCTGTTGGATCTGATCAGTGTATGGGGAGAGGAAACTGTCCAGCCCCAGCTGCGAGTGATCCATAGGAACTGGGACACGTACGGGCACATCTCACTCCTTGCATGAAAAGGGGCATGAGCGGGACACGTTGCAGTGCAGGGGGAAGATGAAAAAGCTCGAACAAGCCCATCATAAGGCCCGTGATGTGAACTGACGCCCCAGTGACGCACTGAAGAGCTGCCATTTCTATATAGAGCTGACTGTTACCCTTGGTGGTGACCCCACCTCCACCGCCAGGAGCCCTGTGGATACTTCAGAGGGCACAGACGCAGGACCTAACCTGGAGGACACTTGCCCGGTACCGTTCATCAATCCCTGGTGCAGGAACCAAAGCAGAACCGAGGTGGGCAGCATTTGGAGCAGGGAGAAAGCCACAAGCCTGGAGTTGTGCCCCGGTTTCCTTGCTCACTCGGAGCAGGGAGATGTCTGCCAGGGTGATACCCGCTTGTGGAGAAGTGCGGCATCATTTGAGCTATGTTCCTGCAAAGGGAATCTTCTAGCCCCAGCTGGAATTTTCACACAAATTATGGAACGTGCAACAAGCCGCGATAACCATGGGAATAGTGTCCTCAGTGAGGTGTTCCCTGCCGCAAAGACACCTCCATCTCGCCTTCAATCTCCCAAAGGTGCATTCAACCACTATGTGGCACCTGCTCAGCCTGTAGTTAAAATGCTCCTTATTGCTGGCCAGGTTCCCCTTGTACGGTTTCATATCAGCAGAAGGTGCCTCTAGCGTCTGGCTTGCAGGACTGTGGCTGTAAATTGTGCTCTGCCTAGTGACGTAGTCAAGGATAACTGCCTTCCACTGCTGCTGGTGCCAGAGCTTCCTGTTAGATCCAATAGCAGGTGGCTGTGTGCTGTGTTTAAGGTTCCGGTGTCAAGCCCCGTTCACTGCCTGTGATGCAGCTTCCCTCTGCTGGGAGTTGCACCCTGCCTGGCTGTGACAAGCTGGGGAGAGTGGCTGGAAGCTGACGTGTGCAGCTGAGGGCTTTACGCCAGCCTGGGCACCTGCCATGTGCTGCCCCCTTTCCAAGGAAGGAGGCAGAGACGGACGGGGAAATCCCAACCAAGACATTCCTTTTATTTTTTAATAATAAAAAACAGAACAGACATGATTTCCTGAAAACAGCTTCCTACCTCATAATTTCACAGAAATTAGCTTGGAAACGTTGCTCGCCCTCCCTGTTCCGACTCCTGCCTCGGGCCCTCCTTGCAGGGAGATGCCGTAGCCCTGGAGGAGCAGGCTCCAGCCAGTCCTGGTGCAGAGTCCTGCAGGCCTCCAATGGCCAGTCTCACCCTGCCACGACCGTGAGCCTGTGCTGGGCAGCTGGCTGCTGTCCCCAGCCCCACACGGGGGATAGTGGGGGTCAGCGTAAGGAGGGACTGAGACATTAGCCTTTGCTCAGGCTCACCGGGTAGCACAGAGTTCAGCCTCTCAGGGGTAGCGCTTTGTCTCTGGGTCCCGCCCACCACACACCCTCCTTCACTCACAGCACTGCTCCCCACCTCCCCCTTTGCTCTGCCCTGCCTCCGCTGCCCCCTTCTCCCTTCCCTCTGCAGAGGCGGCGGGTTTCACGCTGCACCAGGCCAGCAGGGATGTGGAGTGGGAGGATCCCCCACACACCAGGCCCAGGAAGCGGTGCCCGGTGCCAGGGTTTCACCCTCCCCCAGGCCAGCAGGGATGTGGAGTGGGAGGATCCCCCACACACCAGGCCCAGGAAGCGGTGCCCGGTGCCAGGGCTGCTATCTGGCTCGCCCCAGGCACCACGGCACCTCGCAGTGCTCGAGAAGGGCTGAGCCGTGGGACAGGAGCCCTTAGGGCTGGATGGAAGGGAAGAGATGAGGACAGAAGTGAGTCTACCCTCCCCCAGGCCAGCAGGGATGTGGAGTGGGAGGATCCCCCACACACCAGGCCCAGGAAGCGGTGCCCGGTGCCAGGGCTGCTATCTGGCTCGCCCCAGGCACCACGGCACCTCGCAGTGCTCGAGAAGGGCTGAGCCGTGGGACAGGAGCCCTTAGGGCTGGATGGAAGGGAAGAGATGAGGACAGAAGTGAGTCTATGCCAGGGGCACTACTGCTCAGCCCCTACAGGGCCCCTAGGGCCCTCTGAGGATACCCCACCCGGCCAGGTTCATGAGGTGATGTCCATTGAGTGGACCTGGGCTGCAGCCAGTGGAGGGACAGCTCCCAACTGCTGGGCAACCAGCCACCAGGAGCCTGGATCGGCCGTTTTGCCCAGCCCTGCCTTGGTCCTACCTCGCCAGCGGCGTCAGGTGCTGCCCAGGTTTTCAGTATCCAGCTCTGTCTAGCCAGGAGGAGGGGGGGTTCAAGTTTCAGCACCAGCTTGTGAAGGTTACGGGGCAGCAAACCACAATGCACTGGGCTCGTAATAACCCCATTGCTCATTGCTCCCCTTCCACATGCTACAGGGCAGGCCCCTGGCCTGAGCCTGCCCCCAGGCCCCCCAACGCAGCATGTTCATCCAGCTTGTTACCATGGAGGCCTGTCCTGTCTCCCTGGGGAGACCAGCCTGGAGAGCATGTCCCTGTGCATTCGGCCCTGGCTCTGTTACGAACTGGGAGCTTCCTCTACCAGCCCCACTAGAGAGGGCTGCTGCCCACAATGGGGTGTGGCAGGGGGATGGGTGCCCTGTGAACCTGGGCACCTTTGCAGGGCTGGCTCAGAGAGCCAGGCTCAGGAGGGAATCCCAGCTGCCATGCTGCTAAGCCCCATGGGCCGTGGGATTTGCTCCAAGCCTTGTTTTACTGCCCTGCTCCCTGAAGGGCTGGTGGCAGCAGGAGGGGGGGTTGCTTCCCTCCCTCTGACAGGATCCCTGACCTCAGTGCTAATGAGTTAATAATCTGGTTTCTCACTAAGGAATTAGAAGTCTTTAAGAAAAAAATCACCCCTCCCCCCCCAAAGTAACGGCAGGTTTTTTAGAGAGCTCTGGAGAAATCCCCGGCTCTGAGGCTTCTCCCTCCAGGGCGGTGCCTAGAGCAGCCCAGAGACCGCTCCCATGGCTGCTGGAGGTGGCAGAGCCGCGGCAGCTGGCTTTGCAGAACAGTCTCCTTCCACCCCATCACGCGGAGGAGCCCTGGGGGTGGCCGGCAGCAGGGCCCAGGCCCTAATCTTTGGGCGTCTTCTTGCTGCGGGAGTTCCACATGCCGCGCTTGGAGTGGTAGTAGTGGTAAAAGTTCCTGAGGCGCAGACGCTCCACCTCCAGCCCACTCTGCAGGACCCTGCGCGGGGAGAGGGAGACACAGCTGAGGAGAGCGCAGGGAAGAAGTGAAGCCGGTTGGGGGCTTGCCACACCCACTGAACTCAAACACCTCAGGAACATGTCGGAGGAAAGCGCTTTCTGCTGCAGTCGATGCTCGCCGTCCAGACTGACGGCCATCTTTGAACCTTCCATGGAGTCTGCCGGCAAAGCCAGGGACACCCCAACTCGGCCTTGCTGAAGGCTCCAGCCCCTGTGCTCTCCCTGCCACCGTCAGGGCTAATTGATAGGTCAGAGTAAGGGAAAAAAAAGGGAGGCACAAATCCATTCTCCCTGCTCAAAAGGACACCGGGGACGTTTCAAGCAGATTTGTCTCCACACAAGCCCGGCTGGAGCACCTGCTGCTCCTAGTGCCTCCTGCTGCCCATGCCACTGTCTGTCC